GGGCTGTGCTGTAATGCTTAGCAGGATCGTGAGCCGTGCGTGTGGTTCTGCCTGGAGATGGGCTAGAGAGTGGTTCTCAAGCATTAGTGTGCCTTAAGTGTAGTAGGTCTGGGGGGCCCAGAAGACTGGCCAGGCTTCTAACAGGCTCCCCAGTGATACTGGTGCTTCCAGACAAGCAAAGGTAGAGGCGTAGCAAGAGACTGGACTGTGCTGTCTCTCCTGACAGGGTGTTCTGGGTTTGTCTTTCTGGCTCCTCCCCAGGAACCTTTATTTAGCAAAGGGAACTATCTTCTATCTACTAGGAGGTACACATATATTATCTAATTTATATCCTACACCAACCCTTAGGAGGTCAGTGGTAGTCTCATTCTTGTTGTTCAGTCGCTCAGTTGTGTCTGACTCTTTGCAAGCCCATGGACTGAGGCATGTCAGGCTTCCCTGTCCTTCTCTATCTCCTGGAGCTTGCTCAAACACAGGTCCATTGAGTCAGTGATGCCATCCAACCATCTCATCCTCTGTTGTCCCCTTCTCCTCCTGCCTTCAGTCTTTCCAATGAGTCAGCTCTTTGCATCAGGTGGCCAAAGTATTGGAGTTTCAGCTTTAGCATCAGTCCTTCCAGTGAATATTCAGGGTTGGTTTTCTTTAAGATTGACTGGTTGGATCTCCTTGCAGTCCAAGGGACTCTCAAGAGTCTTCTCTAGCGCCACAGTTCAAAAGCATCAATTCTTCAGCACGCAGCCTTCTTTATGGTCCAACTCCCACATCCGTACATGACTACTGGAAAAACCATAGCTTTGACTAGATGGACCTTTGTTGGTAAAGTGATGTCTCTGCTTTCTGCAGACAAACAAACTGAGGCTCAGAGAAGTTGAAAGTTCCTCAAAGCTACACAGCAAGTGCCAGAAACAGGATTCAGACCCAGGTCTTTCTGACTCTAGTGCTGAGGATAGCTTTTCCACTAAATTAGAACCCTCAGACTTTCTTCTATCTAAAAATCACCCAGGGACTTCCCTGGTGGCCCATGTTTAAGAATCTGCCTTCCAATGCAAGGGACATGGGTTTGATCCTTGATCCGGGAACCAAGATCCCACATGCCACAGAACAACTAAGTTGGTGTGCCTCAACTAGAGAGAAGCCTGCATGCCACAATGAAAGATCCCACATGCTATAACTAAGACCCGACACGGCCACTAAATAAATAATTTAAAAAATAAAATCACTCATAGTCCTGTTAAAAATACAAGTTTCAGGCCCTTGCTCTCAAATTCTGATTCATTAGGTCTAGGAAAGTCAAAGTATTGCATTGGCCACAAAGTTCACTCAGATTTTTCCGTAACATCTTATGCTACCCACTAGTGTCATTTTGTTTAAAAAAAAAAAATCACTTCAGATGATTCTAAAGCTGAGTATCTGCAGAGTAGATCTTGAGAATCAGAGAATTCCTATGCTGCCTCCCTTGCGGCAAAGGAAATGCTTCACATGCAAAGCTTACTTCAGATGGAATCCTCAGTCTTCACTCAGCATGTACTAGAATCACCTGGAGAGCTTGTTAAACCACAAATTCCTATCCACCCTTGCCCAGAGTTTTGGATGCTGGAGATCTGAGGAACTGGCATTTCTAACAAGCCCTGGCTGATGCTGGTTCTGATGCTGCAGGTCCGGGGACCACACTTTGAGAACCACCATCCTGAGAAGCCTGCTGTCAAAAGTGTGATCCGTGGGCCAGTAATATCTTTCTTACTCACCCTGAGGCTTGTGCAGCATTTCAGTCACACCTCACACCGACTGAATCAGAATCTGCATTTCAGCATGGTCCCCACGTGATTTGCATAAACTTTAAAGCTTGAGAAGTGCTGCCTTAGAGGAGCCAGAGTGAGAACACTCTGGGGGTGGAGGCAGATGAAGAATCTGTCTTCTCCCAGGAGAGCTGAAGATGCGACACAGGTGAAACTGTTGGGGTGTGCACCCAGAGGGGCTGAGGACAGCTGAGAGGTGAGACTCAGAAGATAGAGGGCGCCCCCCACCCAGGGGAGGTGGAGACGGCAGGATGGCCTGAGGAGATGGCGTGGGCCTCAGAGGAAAGCTTCATCAGGCAGCGGTCACTTTGCCCGTAAGACAGTGGACAAGGTGTTCTCTTGGACGCTTTCAGCGATAGGGAAGGGGAGAAGGGGTGGACCGGGGCTGAGCCCTTCAGCATGAAGGACGGTGGCTGTGGGGAATGTGGTGGGTGAACCACCTCGAATAAACAGCTTCTGAGCAGCAGCGAGGGCTGGCTGAGGTGGGAAGGCACGGTTTCCTGGGTGACTGAACAAGGCCCGCATTTTGACTCTGCCCAGCAGTGCTCAGCGGTGGAAAAAGCCAGCAGCCACACGGGGACAAGGAGGGGGCCGCGGACGGGCACAGGGGACCAGGGCTGACCGGAGGTGGACGTGGTGGAAGGTACAGGCGGTGGGGGAACAGCATAGAGGAGCAGGTCCCACTGGAGGATCTCTGGGCTGTTCCTTTTTCCATTTAAGAAGGTGAGTGGGTGGGAGAGGAAACCCCTCAGAAGGCTTAGACTGTTTCATCCCTCGTGCAGGGGAAGAGCTGATTTTTTTTGTTTTTTTAACTTCTCAGAGGTGTTACAGGTTTGATGGCTGATCAGGAGGGCCTTGGTTGCAAAATGGTGGGATGTGGGGGGTGCTGTGAGCCACCAGAATTCCGCAGACTTGCTCCCTGGCCACACGGCTGAGAAGCGAGGGAAGAGGGGAGAAGGAGGCCAAGCCCAGTGCTCACTCCCAGAGCGGCTCCCTGTCTTGTCAGCCCTGCTTCTCCTCAGACCTGCCTTCAGTCTCAGGGGGAAGCTCCCCGGCTCTGGGGGCACCTCCCCTGGCTGAGTGCTTTTCCGTTTTTCCAGAGAGAAACAGAAAAGCGTAGGTAAGACCCCTCCACCTGGGTAACACACAGCTCTCCTCTCATTTCCCCGAGAGACAGTGCAAGGGCCCTGCCCTCAAACAGGCCTCGGCTACTTGCTGGGCTGACCTTGGACTCCTTATCTCACCTCCCGGGGCCTTTGTTTCCTTTCCAATAAACTCTACGGGCAGGGGCCATCTGTCTTCTTGGCCACTCTGTATGCACCTAGCACTGCCCAGGGCATAAAGTTCCCGTGGAACTTTGTAGAATGAAGGAAATAGACCCCTCTCTCTCAGCAGCCCCACCTGTGTGACCACTTGCGAAAGGCACTGTCCTTGGACTAAGCTGGTATGAGGATGAGCCAGGTTTTTTAGAAAATAGACAGCATCACCTGTTCTCCTAGGAAGATGGCACTGTACCAGGAAAGAGCAAAGGTTTCTTGATTCCTTTCCATGCCAGGTGTTGCGGAGAAGCAAATTCTTGACAACTGTTTGTTTAGGGAGCGGGTGAGCACACTTCTGCACACCCCCCTCCCCAAGGCCAGGGGCCCCCCCTCCTTCCTTCTCCCTCTGCTTTTCTACTTTCTGGGCACCCTCCGAAGAATGGCTGCCGGATGTTGCACGTTCGGAAAAGTACAGCTCAAAAGATATGAATCAGCTTGGGCAGGTGAAAAATGATTCATGTCCGACCAACTTGATTTAGTTCAGGTTGTCCAGTCTGAGTCTTTTCCTCCTCTTTAATTAAATGATGCTGGGTATTGATGCTGAATTTAATCTGTCTGTGTTTGTAGAAAGCTGGGGGCACGATGGATAAGCGGGGGAGTATTCATACCAAGCTGGAGTGGCGCCGGGGATTTCAGCACTTTGGGGGCTGTGCTGTAAAGTCCAGGGACTGTGGTCCAGAAGTCTGCCTTCACCCTGTTCCCCTCCTGAACGCCAGTTAGTGGTGCCCCTTCCCGACTTGTCTGCAGCTTAGCCACCTTACCTGGCACGAGCAGGGCTGGGCAGAGGCGCCTCATCTCTGCTGTCACCAGACTGACGCCTGCGTGCTGCTGGTGGTGCTGACTTTGGTCGCAAAAATCCCCGGATGTATTTCCTCCCTGGGCTGGTTTGCTAGAGCCCTTATGTTTCCTGTGTCCCGCGGCAGCTTAGCTCCTCAAGCCCCCGGGCAGATGAGGACCCTGTCTGTCTGTCCCCCACTCCCCAATGACATGCTGTGCCACTGCCTCTTCTGGGTCACTGGCGGTCACCCAGGAGCACCTGTGTGCACCAGGGCTGAACTCGGCACGGTGATAGCTGTGACCGAGTGAATGGCCCCCAGGTGCCAGGCACAGGATGTCATTTGGTCTTCTGTGACCCTCTGAAATGACTGGTAATGTCCCCATTTTACTGACGAGGAAATGGAGGCTCAGAGAAGCAAGATGCCCAGGGTCCTGGCTATGAATTATGTGGTCAGAGTCAGGATTCAAGTGCAGCCCTGACGTTCAAGCCCATGCTCCTTCTGGTAAACCACAGTGCCTCTTGTGGTGGCCAGGCCTAGTCAACAACACATACCCTGGGCCATCTCCTTGGCGGGCCTTTGCTAGGTGCCAGCGGCTTCATACACACCATGGGACGAAAGTCCTCTTTTGCCACAATCTCTGCCTTTTCTATATTCATGATGACACCGTAACCCCTCCTGGTTGCTAATAAGGCAGAGAGAGAAACAACCCAGGCGCATGAGGTAGACTACTGTTCCTAGGGAGCAGAGTTCCAGGAGGGATGAATACAGGTGGTTCTGTGCAGAAGCATAGACAGGAAGACTTCTCATGGGAGTAGAGTTAGACATGCTTTGGGGCGATGTAAGATAGCGATGGAGTGGATTCCGACTTGCTGTGAGTCTCAGACACTTTAGTCCTGGCAACTCAAAGCTCAGGTAGGAAGGGAAGCCCCATTCAAAGCCCTGGACACTCCCCAGGGTCTGTTTTTGGTTCAAGAAGGCCTTTCCCTCTTACCGTCTTTCTGCCAAATTAAACCAAAACGAGAACCTCCAGGTATGAGTGCCCTGGGCCACACCTCAGGTCTCAGCAGGTACCCTTGCTAACTTCCTTGCTTGCTTCCTTTCCGCAGGTGTTGACTTTAAGATGAAGACCATAGAGGTAGATGGCATCAAAGTGCGGATACAGATTTGGTGAGTTGGGCGGGAGGAGAGGCCCCGGGGCTGTACCCGAGCTGCCGCTGCCGTGTGCACAACCCCAGGGCTTCATCTGGGGAAACTGGCCACCTCTTTGATGGGAAGATGCAGGAGTCTCAGAGCCCCTCTCCTGCCCCCATGAGCCTTAATCTCTCATTTTAGTTCCCCGACCAGGGATTGAACTCAGGCTCTTGGCAGTGAAAGCACAAGAGTCTTAACCATCGGACCACCAGGGAAGTCCATGGCCTCTCTTTCTTGAGAAACTTTATGGGACTGACCACAAGTCACCAAAAAGCAATAATTAGAAGGAATTGACAAACTAAGCACTGTGGGTTTGTCTTCGAATAAAGCTTCTGTGTTGGGGCCAAGCCCCTCGCTGCACTGCACTGCAGTAGGATTAGAAAGAGTGAGAGCTATGCCCCATCCTTGCCTGAGAGTTCCTCACCACAGCACAGTGCAGTTCCCCAAGTAGCCACAGGGGGCCGCTGTGACTCTAGCCTGGTGCTCTTGGAAGCACTGCCTTTCCCGCGTTGGGAGCAGCCTTCGTTTTAGAGCGGTATGGGCGTTGCCTTCAGAGGTCCCGGAGGGGACTGGAGGTGGCGCCGTCCCACCAGTCTGGCCACAGTGGCCAGATCCTAGAGACAGTTCTCTAAGGCCCAGGTATGGTTGTGGCTCCTGGTGCAGGTATAGTTGACAAGGCCCCACAAGCCCCGTCAGCACCAGTCCTCTCTCCTGTAGAGTCAGATACGTTTGGATCTACCTGGGCACCAAAGCTCCACTGATTTTTCAGCCTGCAGCTCTCCAGTTTCTCCTGCAAAGGCACAGGGTCTCCCAGCTCCTGTTCCTCCCCTCCCCACCAGCTTCCACGGTCCCTGCCTTTCTGACGGGCTGCCTTTCTATTGCAGGGACACGGCAGGGCAGGAGAGATATCAGACCATCACAAAGCAGTACTATCGACGGGCCCAGGTGAGACACTGTCCTTAGGGTTTAGAGGTGGAATGCTGCCACCCACACACCTGGCTCTGGGCGTTTGAGATGTTTGTGCCACTGATCCCCAAGTGGGTCCTTGGATTGCCTCCTGGGGAGTGAGGCAGGGGGTGCTCAGGGCAGTCTTTCAGTCACTTCTTGATCATTTATTCGTTCATCAGTTCCTCTGTGGGCAGTCAACTACAGGCAGGTCCTCACCCTCAACTTCCACCCTCCTCCCCCGGCCAAAGACCCATATGCCTTCCTGCCTGAGGGAGCTCTGTGATCTAGGAAGCAGTGGCTTTGGGGGGCTGAGAGGAGATTTTTCTGGGTGCTTATGGATCTTCATTATGCTAAGCAGGGAAGAGGGAGACGGCGACCCAGCATGTAAGGTGCCCCACCCCCCGCTTCTGGCCCCTTGACTGTGCAGTTTCCATGTGCGTCTGCCTCCCCCATCTCACCCTCCTCTCTCTCAGGGAATATTTTTAGTCTACGACATTAGCAGCGAGCGCTCTTACCAGCACATCATGAAGTGGGTCAGTGATGTGGACGAGGTAGGACACGCAGCCTCACTGTGGGGGGGCGGTGGGGGCAGGGAGGGCACGGCGACGCCCACACGGGAAGGGCTAAGGTGGTCAGAGTTGGCGAGCAGACACTCCCAGGAACTCTCCACTTCCTCTGCAGCCCTGGCTGCAGCCCCCGCGGGTAAGACACGGGGGTGAGTCCCCAGCAGCCATGCCCTCATGCTCTGCACCCTGCCAGGCCTCCATGGCTGTGTCTTCCCCAGAAACGAGTTAGGACAGAGCCTCCCCTGTGCACAGCTTCCTACCCGAATCTCAGGACCAGGTGGAATTGGGAGATTGGGGTTCCAGTCCTGGCTCTGCCACCACAGCTGTGGAGCCTTGGGCATGCCCCTGGAACTCTGAGTCCCCGGTTCCTCATCTGTAGAGTGAGAGGTTGGACTTAAGTCCAGCATCCTTTCCAGCTGTCCAACCCAAGGGAGCACCAGTGTCTTCTATCCTCGACGGTCCCCATGACATCTCTCAGGGACCCCTGGGGTCAGCCGTGGTACTTGGGGGAGCCTGGTGCCTGCACTCCATTGGCCCACTCTGTCCCTGGGGCTCTGAACTTCGGTGCTGGCGTGCATGCCCATGGAGGCTGTATGGTGGGGAGATGGGGTGGGATGAGGAAGGCCGCACTCACTGGCGGTTCTGCCTTCCTCTGGCCTTAGTACGCACCAGAAGGTGTCCAGAAGATACTTATAGGGAACAAGGCTGATGAAGAGCAGAAACGGCAGGTGGGAAGAGAACAAGGGCAGCAGGTAAGTGGGAGTGAGCTGGCTGAATCCACCCCTGGGTTTTCCATGGGCTTCCAGGGCCAGTCCTAAGAAGTAGGGCCCAGGGTTCTATCACTGTTGGGGACCCCTCCCTCCCACCTCCTATAGCGGCCTAAGGCATTTGGTGAATTGCCATCTTTGAGGACAGTGACTTGGGTCTATCCTGAAACAAAGGCCTGTCTCAGCTCCAAGGCCCCCAGAGCAGGATTACCTCTGCCTGAGAGACCATCCTGGTTAACGAGGAAGGACTTCAGGCTGCTGCCTCTATAGCAGCTCCAGGAGCAGCTTTGTCCCACAGTCATCTCATCCCACCCACCAGCCCCCACCACCATACCCGCTCCCTGTCCTCCTGACACCCGGACAGAGGTTAGAAGGAAAATACGGGAATGAAGGGCCCATAGTCAGAGAAGCTATGGCGGCAGAGAGGGCAGGAGGATGATGCTGAGGGAATGTCCGAGTAAAGAGGGAGACCCTGCTCCCAGAGAACAGGAGGAATGATGGATGCCACTGAGGCCAGAGTCACCCACTTACTCTGAGGGGTCTTAGGAGCTTTTCTGTTCCTCTTCAGTCAATAGCACCCATTAACCCTGGAAATAAAATTGTTTTTTAGTATATTAATAAAAAATACATGGTCATTGAAAAGTTTGAAAGTAGAAGCTAGCTCCTACTAGAATATTTGTATTTGTTGAGTGCTGTATGTGTGGCCCTGTGCTAAGCAAGTGCTTAGAGATAGATGCATTTAATCCTTCCACAACCTTTGTTAATAGACACACTCATCTCCTTTGAGCAGATGACAAAGCTGGGAGGCTTAAAGGGAATCAGTAAGTTGTCAGCCAGCTCTTAAGTGACAGCACTGGTATTCAAGTCTGGGTCTGTTTGACCACCAAGCCCATGTTTTTCATTAATTTGCCACAACATTTTGGGCCTGTCTTCTGATACATGATGTATGCATGAGGGGTGTGTACGTGTGCCTGTGTGTAGCTGGGTGGGGGTGGGGTGTATGGGTGGAGCACCTTCTCCCAATCTCTGCTAGCCTGGTCTTCAGAGCTCCCAGTCTCATAAGTGTTCTACTTATGTGATCTCATAAGTGATCTACTTATCTCGTGAGAAATGGTCACGACACAGCAGGGCCCTGAGCGTGGTGGCAGAAGGATGTGCCAGGTGCTGCGAGGCACCTCCCTTCCCTTGCTGACTCCCTTTCAGGAATGTTCTTCTCTTGCAGCTGGCTAGAGAGTATGGCATGGACTTCTACGAAACAAGTGCCTGCACCAACCTCAACATTAAAGAGGTGAGCACTCCTGGGCTTAGTCCAGGGGAGTGGCGAGGCAGCTGAGGGGCCAAGAGCAGATGAGCCCCGCTGGGCAGGGGGCAGGGCGGGGGTCAGCCACAGGGGCGCCGGGGAAGAGGGGGAGACGCCCGGCTAACGACGCCGCTTGCTTCCCCAGTCCTTCACGCGCCTGACGGAGCTGGTGCTGCAAGCGCACAGGAAGGAGCTGGAAGGCCTGCGGACGCGTGCTGACCACGAGGTGGCCTTGGCAGAGCTGGAGGAGGAGGAAGGCAAACCCGAGGGCCCGGCAAACTCTTCCAAAACCTGCTGGTGCTGAGCATCCTGCGTGGAGCACCCCCGCACAATCCCCCTCTCCCCGCAGGAGGCCTGCGGGCACAAGGGAGCCTGGGCCTCACCCCGCTGCCCCTCTCCTTTGGGTGACCCTGCGGCATGTTGGCCGCTGCTCCTCCTCCCCCTGCCTGGCCCCGGGGAGCAGCCTCGCCCCCAGCCCTCCACCTGGGGGGGCCCCGCCAGCCTGTGTCCCCAGCCACAGGCCTGCTGCGAGCCCCCGATGTGTGACGAACACGTCTTCACTGCCCGGAGCTCCCAGGCGATGCCCGAGTCTGGAGTCAAGGCCACTGTAGGTTCCTTGTCTCTCAGTGCGTCTGGTCTCCTCTCCGCTGTTTCTCGCTTCTTCCACTTCTCTGTCTGTCCCTTCTGCTCGGCTGTATTCGTATGGAAGCCCTCACCTCCCCGCGCCTGTGTGTCCAGGTCCCTGCTGGGGCAGTACCTTCCCCTTCCTCCTCACTCAGGCCCAGGGTCACACTCCCCCTGCTCTGCTCCCGGGAGAAGCCCCACCTGCAGCCCCCAGAGCTGTTGCCATCTCCCCGGCCACCACCTGCCCCTTGTGCCACGGGCCTGCCTCCTGGTGACCAGGCAGAGAGGGAAGCGAGGGAGGAAGGAAAGCCCTAAGTGGTGGTCCCCACATCTGGGGCTCTCCTCCTCCCACCCCAGTTCACCCCGTGCTTGGCTGCCCGCCCACCTGCCTCTTGGGGGACCTGAGCTCGGAGACAGGTGCTTCAGAGAAGAAGAAAAAAATGATGAGGGGTGGCAGGGATTAAAAAGTCACCTCCATTCTCTACCTCCCGTACCCGCTGGGCTCCTGAATTTAAAGATGTGGATCAAGACCTGTGAGCACTGCAGGGGTGAGGAGAGCCTCCCCACCCTGGGGCCTACCACACACTGCAGGAAGGGGAGTGTTTGGAAGAGAAGGGCCAGCTCCTGTAAGTTAAGAGCTGGGATAGCAGTTTGCAAACCAGAGGGGAATTGGGCAGCAGCAGGGATTCCTGGGCCCCATCTTCCATTTCTTATGTAAGAAGGGCATTTCCCCACCACCCCCTGGCAGGTGACGGAACAAAACCAGGCTGGTGGTCTTTCATTGAGCCCAGGCTTTGGGTCTTTAGGTTCTCCCGAGACCCAGAGTCTGTGGGAGAAGGGTGGGAGCGCGTGGGCAGGAGGCAGGCAAGCCCTGGGTAAGAATGTGTGGTGCTCTCCCTTCAGCCTTCAGGACCAAGTGCTCATCTTGTTCCTTGAGCTCCTGAGTCAGATGCTCTTGGGTTTGCCAACTGCTCTGTGGCGACAGGTGGGGGGAAGCGGGTTCCCTCCTCCAGGGCCCTTTGCTTCAGGAAGAAGTTTCTTTAACTCCATACAGTCCAGAGTAGTTTGTAGGAGGCCCTTTGAGGGGGGAAATATGTCAGTTAGCAGCCCTAGGAGGGCTTCCACCTTCCCAAGATGGCAGGAGGATCAGTCATAAGCTGTGAGGCATGGCTGGTGCTGGAGCAAAAACAAAGAACTAGGCATCGCACATTCACCAGTCGTTAATAAGAACTCAAGTCCAGGACACACATGTGTGAAGGATTAAGAGCCCCACCGACTCCTCTGGGAAAAAAGGTGAGGGATGAAATCGCCAAACCTTCCCTCCTGATCCTTAATACCACACCAGGAGAGGGCAGCTCAGGATGCAGGGACGTGGGACAGGTCCCTACATTGGGAGGAAAGAGAAAGCCAGAGTAATTATAATTGTCGGCTGATGAGAAACATGAAGAGCTGACTCTCTAGGATGAAGTCACGACCTCAGCTGAGAATGCTTCCTTGAGGACTTGACTCAAACATCTAGACATGGGCAGCATCAGCTCTGGGGCGGGGAGTCAGCAGTGCCAGCCCTCGGCGTGCCCTCCACCAGGGACCTGAGGGAGGGGCGTTTATGCTGGCCGTTGGCTCCAGCCCATGGGTCAGTGTTGCCACTTCCCTGAAGATCTGGCCGAGCACCATTGCCTTCCTCTCCTAGCCCCCCTCAGGAAAGGGACTGTATTTTTACTGTGCCCTAGGGGTTCTGGAAGGGAAACCTTGGGGTTGAGACTCTACAGCCTGAGAAGCCGCATCCACGGGGCCTCTGCTGGGGAGAGGCATGGGGCAGGAGGGGCGCTGGGGTTTTAGGGTGCAGCTAGGCTCACCATGTACCAGAGGCGGCCTGGGCCCTGGCCTTAGACTGTTGAGCAGGCGCGCTTGCCTGTGGACTCCTGACCACGTCTTCACCTGCCGTCTTGAGACTCAGCGCCGCCCTGGCACCCATTCCTGAGCCCCACCTTCTCCCTGTGATGGGTGAACTCTCGTGTGCTGTGTCTCGGGTCCAGTAGAGGAATTGTGAGCAGGGTTCATCTATTTTAAACACAGATGTTTACAAAATAAAGAATATTTCCAATCACAGCTGCCTGTGTGAATCCCCAGGAGTGGGTCTCCATGGGACCCTGGTGGTTCAGGGGAAGGGGCAGTGCCAGTAGAAGAGGCTCCAGAACCCTAAAGCAACAGCAGTAGAAGGACATTGCTGGCAGCAAACGTCTTCCATTTGGCACCTCTCCTAATGCCACCTGCAGGGGAGCCCAAGCAGAGCACGCATTGCTCTGCTGTGGACACACACTGCAGAAATAAGACTGAGTTGTCATAGGTGGGGTGGGGAGTGGGGGAAATGCTGAATATCTAAGAGCCAAGAAGGGTCTCATCTCTTGGAATGGAATAGGGTCTTCCTAAAGGCATGAGGCAGAATTGAGTAATCTTTCAGAAGTTCATCTTAACCCTATGCTTGGATGGGCTTCCCTGATAGCTCAGTTGGTAAAGAATCCGCCTGCAATGCAGGAGACCCTGGTTCAATTCCTTGGTTGGGAAGATCCCCTGGGAGAAGCAATAGGCAACCCACTCCAGTATTCTTGGGCTTACCTTGTGGCTCAACTGGTAAAGAATCTGCCTGCAATGCGGGAGACCTGGGTTCAATCCCTGGGTTGGGAAAATCCCCTGGAGAAGGGAAAGGCTACCCACTCCAGTATTCTGGCCTAGAGAATTCCTTGGACTGTATAGTCCATGGGGGTCGCAAAGAGTCAGACACAACTGAGTGACTTTCACTTCCCTTCTTCACTATGCTTGGATACCCCCAGAGAGTAAGACAGTCTGGAGTCTAGGGGTCTATTGCATACTATACTCCGGGGTCTGGAGTTGATGGAAGAGGTAGAGAATGTTTGGAGGTAAAGCTAAAACAAGAAGGAAGGAGTAAAGCAAGGCAGGGCAATGGTAGCCTAAAATCTTAAATCTGTATTTTCCAGTTTACAGAGAACTCATAAACCTTTATCTCTTCCATCTGAACAATCACTTCACTGTGAGATAAGGAAGGTGATTATCCAGGTTCAACGGATAAGGGAACGGGTGCCTAGGGGCCCCAAGGAACAGTGGCAGAGTCAAGCTGAAAAGGACCAACTGCAACTGAAATCTCTGGAGGGGAAAGCTTGGCATTTCTGTTTAGAAAAATCTCTACTTGCAATTCTCATTTGCAGCCAGAGTTGGGAGCCGCTGACCGAGGCTTTCTGCCTACAAAGCCAGTGCAGTTTTCAGAACAACAACTGCCCTTGTGGAAAGCCGTGTTAGTGCATGTCCAAAATTACAAGCTTCCGAAAAGTGGGCCAGTTTGAGGGAAAGTTGGGAACAAAGAGCTACCTTAGCAGAGCTTCATCAATTTTACTCAGTCATGTAAGGTGAGAGCCCGGGTGACGCAAAGTGTCCTAGAGAAAAGGGATGGCATGTACCTAAGGAAGAGAGCACCGCTACCTCTCATCTCAGGATCTGCATGGTCTTCCTAGAGAGGGTCCCAGAAGGGCAGTCAGTAAGAGGCCTGAGAGTTCTCAGGGAGTGCCAGGCATGCAGGTGAATCTGGCAAGTTCATGTTAAAGTTTAGCCCACTGTCAGGGCCAAGTTCTGACTCAGTGGCTTCGGGGGGACATTTATTGCCTTTTCCCAGGAGTTCCACCCAGCCTCAGCAGGGAACATACTTCTGTGTTTCCTGCCGCCTCTTCTAGTGGCAAAAGATTCCCTCCCCACTTAGGTAATGGAGGTTTGTTTGTGGGGAGCAGCTGGTGGAGAAAATGGGCTTCCCTGTTGCCAAGAACAGCCACGAACAGGCTACAAAACACAGAAAAGCCGGGCACTGCCTGGAAGGTTGCTCCATCCTCCCAGCAAATCAGATTCTCAAGACCAGCTGCTCCCCAGCCTCGTTTCTTCTTGTTCTCGGAGACGGTTCCCAAGGGACACATACCTGTGAACACACTCCCTCGTAAACAACTTCACTGTTATTGAAATTTCACTCTAAAATCCCCAAACCAGGTAAAGCCTAATTGCCAACTTTACTGATGGAAAAATCCAGTCATTAAAAAATAAATAAGAAACAAAACAAACCCCTGATTTGTTGTATCCATGGGCGTTTGGAAGAATAAAGTGAAGTATTAGGCCTTTTTAGTTTCTGTGGGCTTCCGGGGCCCTGCTCCCCTGAGAGCCTTAGGAGGTCCCCAGATGTGTTGAAAACTGAGTGGCTTAGCTGGGTCTAGAACCATAGCAGCTTCGACTCCTTGTACACTTTCTTCTGTGGAGAATGACCAGCACAACTGCCTCTGGAAAGTCTTCAGGGCCGGAGCCTTTGTCTGAAAAAAGGTAAACCCTGCCCCAAGTTTACCCACCTGCTCTATGACTCCTCTCTGTTATCCCAAGCCACAACCGACTGCATCCTCCTGACCCTGTGGGGGCGGGGCGAGGGGTATTAGAGGAGATGGCCCAGAGCAGGGGCAAAGGCAGATGTACCCTCTGGGGCAGGTACCATCATTCACTGAAAGACTTTTCAAGACAAACATAGCCTCACCTCTTCAGACTGGGTGCAAGCTGAAGCACCAAAAGCCATTATTTTAGAAAATCCCACACCATCCTCCCAAGGGTCCCTTTGATTTTATGCTTGTGGAAGGTAATGGCCAAAGAGAGAAATGTGAATAGTAACATGTGTATTTCGATGGTAGTCTCAGTCAAGGGGACATGCACCCAATTCCCTTCCTTATCGTTCAGCCCTCGGCAGACCCTGGCCTCTCAATTGCACAGTTCACAGCTTGGCACTCAGCAGGCACGCAATAAATGTCTGTGACCAGTGAAAACCACTTGCTGGGGCAGACAGGAGTCAGTCTTGCATCCCTCCCTCCCTTTTTTCCTCCTCTCCGACCTTTGGGGCTCTGGTTTCCTGCAAGCAGTGAATTATTGATGTCTACTCAGAGATACCACGTTGGCCCTTCCCAGGTTGCCAACAGGGTGGGACAGGGAGGTGGCTTTGTTCAGAGTCTGTAAATAGGAGGAGCAAGTTTCTTGTTCAAACAGCACTTACAGGTAGGCGACTGTTTTTGCTAAGTCATCCTGGGGATGCTCAGAGCCCCATTGTGAGGTCCCTCCTGGCTCCTCCTTCCTCCCCACCCTTTTAATCGACCCTTGAGTGGGCTCGCAGGGCTCTGCCACTCACTCTGCACGTCCACCATGGCTTACATTGCCAAGTCCTTCTACGACCTCAGTGCTATCAGCCTGGACGGGGAGAAGGTAGATTTCAACACGTTCCGAGGCAGGGCAGTGCTGATTGAGAATGTGGCCTCGCTTTGAGGCACAACCACCCGGGACTTCACCCAACTCAACGAGCTGCAGTGCCGCTTCCCCAGGCGCCTGGTGGTTCTTGGCTTCCCTTGCAACCAATTTGGACATCAGGTGAGAGGTCCCTGGAGTTGGACTGCTGTAGCTCTAGAGGACTAAGGAGAGGGGGAGAACGACTGTGTGCTGGACTGTCTGGAATTATGGGGTATGTTTTGTTAAGCTAGGTCTATAGGTAGAGGTGACTACCGGAGGGGGGGGGGGTGTGGTCAGTATGATCCTGTCTGTGACAGCACACCAAAGATGTGCATTTTCACGGTTTCCGGTCTTCCCACTACTGGTCTGGTTCTCTCTCCACTGTGTCCTCGGTGCCTAGGGTATAGA